AGCCTCAACAATGTAGCTTTGTGGGGGCCCCTGTGGTATGGGGCCCCAGGCAGTAGCCCTGCTTGCTACTCCCTAACGTGGGCCCTGGCTTTTATACACCAGAAAAACCAGTGATTGCGGCACAGCTGGGCTGTGGCGTTTTTATAGCCTGTTGGGGGGTGGGGCCTCCGAAAGAAAAAGGTTGAGAACCCCTGGGCTAGAATATCAGCCCCTGTGTTATAAACCTAAATCAACAGGTGATATTACTTGCTGTTGCTGTCATTTTTTTTCTAGTACATTACCCAAAAATCCTGTCTGAGAGCTATTGCCAGGACTGTTACCATACAAGATATGTTAAAAAGTGTAGCTGCTCTTAAGAGAGCCTACTTTAGACTGAGCAAGCTGGTTCAGTAAGGAGCAGGAAGGCCCCTATAGCCATGGAAAAGTTGCTGGTTCTTTTGAAATTGTGAAGGAGACTGATACAAATGAGCTTTCCAAACCCACAAGGAAAACTTTTACAATTGGGAGCAACTGTTAGCTGCTCATGAGCATGAAGTGGTTAGAATACAAACATTAAGGCGAAGAAATCTGCATGCCCATTTCCCATTAATTTACATAGGAATTGGGCATCCAAATCCCTAGGCTGCAATTTTTCAAGGCTGCTTAAAGGCCCGACTTAAATTAGAGAATCCATGAAATGTAAGGCTCAACCCTTCACGTGCCCAGTGGTGCTGTACTACCAATTGCAATGCTGCATCTGTGGGGCTGGATCCTGTGAGTGCTCATGTGGGACTGCCTATGTGACGTGGGAATGGTCTATGTGACGTGTTTATGGAATTGGGCCCCATGTGTTGTATGCCCCCTCGCCCCCAATTCAGAGTACCGTGACATTGAGGAACCATTTTAAGAATGAATTTTTAGCTGGGGAGTTTCTCAGACAATTGATTGGTGCACCAAAGACACAGAGGAAACATGGGTAGAACAATTACTGTAGTTTGTTACAGCTAGTTAAACATTTTTCCATCACAGTGGGGGGTTTCTTTTTTGACAATTTTTTTTAAGTAACCAAAATGTTTGCACAAGAAAATGGTTTTTCCTCAAACGTTTGTTTTTTCTTCAAACGCTGGATGTTCTTCATTGCTTGGCAAATGAAAATTGTTTTTTTTCTGAACTGAACATTTTGATAACTGAACATTGGGAAAACAAAACTTTAGCTTTTTGACAATCCCCCAGATTTCAAAGTTGTCTAAATTTTGACAAAAACCAGGACAAAAATCACTTCTAACAAGCTCTACTGCTTTTATATGTAAGTATAAATCGCCAAGGCTTCGTCTGAGCCAGCTCCTAGTTATCCTTTCCCATGAGGTCTGCCTACGCAGAAGGAAAGTCTGGTCCAAGTAGCTAGAAGGTCCTTTTCGTTTATCAGCCTTCCATCTCTGCTTCCATCTATCCCTCACTATCTAGGATTATTTCTGTCCTGGGCCTTAATGGATCTGGAAAGAGAAAGAAAGTGTGAGGTTCTTAGTTAAAAACTCCCCAAACATGGCTGCCAATGATACCATAAGTGAAGATTTTGAGGTTTTTTAAAACATGTCAGTATCCACAAGACATTTTGCTATTTCCCAGAGTGCTCCAGTGGATGTACTGGAGCAAACAGACTCTGGTGCATGCTGTGGTGGATTGCATTAGATTATATGGTAGTATCTAATTTGGGTTTGACTAGGGAGTTACCAGAAACCCTGAGTAAGGGACCGCATAAAGCTCTGCTGCCTCTGGGGACTGAATTGTGACGGAGTCCCAGTTCAGTCCCTGGTTCCTCCCCCCCCCCCCCTTGCTCTAGGCAAGAAATAGTCTGTGTTAGCACCTTTCATGTGTGCAGACTACTTTCCTCTGTGCTGGTTCAGCTGCACTGGCTGGTGCATTGTGGGAGGTGTGGAGTCAAGGTTCTGCCCACCAGCTTGGGATAGGAGTAGCATGTCCAGGGAAGCTGCAAGTACCTGCAGCCCATGCACAGGAGCCAGGGTTCTTCTATCCCCTTAATGCTGGCATGAGCACAGATGTTGTCTTTACACCTGAGGCTTTCATGTCTGTTCAGTTAAATGTATCTCATACATGGATAGAGGTGGGCATGAAACACAGCCTCAGAACCGCCCCTCTGCATTGCTTCTCCAGCTCGCTCCCAAAATAGCCCCAGGCAAAGTTCAGGTCCAGATCAGAACGTCTTGGCCCACCATTGCTTGCACCATTGGAAAGAAGAGATTTGGAAGCTGAGTTCAGTGTGTGATATTGAGGGCAGGACAGAGGAGAGGCTGAAACAACCCTTGCTGTGCATGGAGTTTGGGACATTATGTTGGCAGCTGAAATCTGTAGATATTTTCAACTAGGAATATTTTCTATTGTGTCACCTGGCAAAAATTAACTCAACGTGACCTGGCACCGTACACATAGTGTGTTTGCCAGGTGGCCCATTAATCATACATGGCTGAAAGCAAGGACTCGACCACTGACATTATGTCAATGCCAAGGAGTTACGTCAGGCAGCAATAACACATACAGTATTTGTGTGATAGCACAGAATTCTTTCCAAGCAGAAAATCCACCTTGACATTTTGGGTTAAAGCTGTTTAGAGAAAAGGGAGTTTCTTAAAAATCTCTCTGGCACATTTATATTGTACCTTGGGAGGCAGTCCTTTATTTTGTTACGAACTTGCTGTTTATGAATCGTTCTCCAGGAAAGCAATTGGCTGAGATTTTCAAAGCAGTATTGGGAGTTCAGTCATCCATCTTCCACTTAGATTAATAGCAGTCTGGCTAAATCCCCTGCACTGCTTGTTCTTTCGCTTGTGAGCTCCTTGGGATAGGTGCTGTCTCTTAGTAGGTGTTTGGAGCCCCATTGTGTTTGATGCCGTACAATTCTGATTAGGGTTTTTGGGCATTGATACATTGCAGGCCTTCTGTGGGACAGAGCTATTCTGGAGGGAACACTGAGCAGTGCACAAACTGGAAGCCACAGGCCTGCACTAGAATGGAGCATGGAGCCTGCCAATGCAGCCCAGAGAGTGGGCTAGGCTGACTCAGGAGAGTATGTGTGGCCAGAATAATCAACAAGGCCAGCACCTCTCTCAGCCAGCGGGAGATCTCAGGACATACATTAACGCCACCCACGCAGCAGAACCGCTGTAGGAAGATGGTAGAGCAAGGGGGTGTGTGAGAATCTGTCCCATTCATTTATAGACCCTGCTTGGGCAGGAAGACTGATTCACAGGTCTGTTCAGTCTCCACCTTCTGTGGGCCTGCAACGCAAAGGCAGGTGGCACTCACTTGTTGGCAAAGTCTGGCAGGATTTTTTTTCTTGGACAGATTTTTCTGTTCTGGACAGACAGCACAAAGTAGGAGAGACGCTGAAAAGCATGCATGAAACCAGCAAGTTGCCTGGTCAGAGTTTCATTACAAAACTGAGGAGTCTCCCTGGGCTCCTAAAAACTGTCAAAGCCCAGTAGTTTCACTAAGAAGATACAGTGAAATTCACCAGTTCTGGCAAAACTTGCTGGTTTTGGCTGAATGTTGCTTTGAGTTTGTATGAACGTTAAACTGGAGGGGTGGGGGCGGCGGGGGTCACAAACCCTGTGTATTGAACTGATCAGAAATTTTCTCTAAAGGTTTGTGCAAACCCAAACCAATTTGTTCATCCACCAAGGCATTTATATTCATCATTTCCAGCCTGGTACATGACTTTGGTCCCAGGCACTTTAAATGAGAAAAATCTCTAAAGTGTAGATTTTCTTGGGTCTTCCTTTGCTTATATAGGGTATTTAGTTACTCATGCTCCCTCCCAGGGGTGGGCAAACTATGGCCCAGGGGCCACATCCAGCCCTTCCGATGTTTTAATCCAGCCCTCAAGCACCTGCTGGGGAGCAGGGTCCGGGCCTTGCCTTGCTCCACATGTGCCATGGCTCCACATAGTTCCCAGAAGCAGCGACATGTCCCCCCTCCAGCTCCTACATGTAGAGGCAGCCAGGGGGCTCCACATGCTGACCCTGCCCCAAGCACCACCCCCACAGCTTCTGTTGGCCAGGAACCATGGCCAATGGGAGCTGCAGGGGTGGCGCTTGCGGGTGGGGCAGAGTGCAGGGCTGCTTGGCTACGCCTCCGTGTAGGAGCCGGAGGAGGGACGTGCCATTGCTTTTGGGAGCTGCTTGAGGTAAACGCCACCCAGAGCCTGCACCCCTGACCCTCTCCTGCCCTCTGAGCCCCTCGGTCCCAGCCCAGAGCACCCTCCTGCACCCACAACCACTCATGCCTATCCCCAGAGCCTGCACCCCCAGCTGGAACCCTCACCCCCACACCCCAAGCCTTCCCCCAGTCTGGAGATCCCTCCCACACTCTGAACTCCTCATTTCTGGCCCTACCCCAGAGCCCTCACCCTCTCTGAACCCCAAACCCCAGTTTTGTAAGCATTCATGGCCTGCCATATAACTTCCATTCCCAGATGTGGCCCTCAGGCCAAAACGTTTGCCCACCCCTGCTCTAACCCATAAAGCCAGACGAGGCCTATTAATTAACTTGTGTCTGAACTCTATTCTTCACCTTCTCTTTTGTTTGCCCGAGTCCATGGATAAGTAGTGCATGTACGTTCTGCGTGAGTCAGATCTTCAGCTGGTGGCAATCTGTATTGCTCCACTGAAATCAATGGAGCTATCCTGACTTATACCAGCTGAAGAGCTGGCTGGGAGCTGGTTAGTCATCCCCTTCTAGTACTATTTATTTTTGCTAGGGATTAGCCCCCAGCTACAAAGTCCAAGTTCAGAGCTGTTTGCATCCATGGTTTTATCTTGGGCCTGTCTTGTTTACTGTAGTAACCAGCAGCTCTCAGAAAAGGGAGGTGGTGATGGGGGAAATAGAATGGTTAATACCTGGATTTTAAAAAGGAATAAAGAAGTTGCATGAGTCTTCATCAGTAATCTAGGAATTCGAGTTTACCACCAACAATTTTAATCCTAACTCTCTCTTCTCTTTTACAGTTTTTTGCATTATGTTCATCATGGCGTTCCACCTCCTAGCTATTGGCCGAGGCAAAGGAAATCCTACTCTGGCTAACTTTGGTGCTCTTCCAAACATCTTTGGAGCTTGTTCACTAGCTGCTGTATCCCATGCCACCCTTCCTCATATCATTCCTCCCATACTAAACAAGGCCAACCTTGGTCTGGGAATTGCTATTGTCTTCATAGTTGTGGGTGCATTTTATGCACTGCTTTCATTAACTATCATGTTCACCTTTGAAAAGGACAAGATTCAGGAAATTGTTCTGTTAAATTTTTTGGATTGCTCTATTGTGCCTGGAGTGTTCTTCATTTACTTCTTGGGACTCTATACCGCTTTTAAGGTGAGTGCCATCTTTCCCCTGAACGCAGTGGCTTTAAGAGACAACATATGGGCTATGTTCAGCTCCTTCCAATGTTCTCGCATTTGGGCTGTTGAAAGACTCCTCTTTCCGCTTTTGGCCATCATCCCACCAACTGTGATTGCGGTCGTTACTGAGAACATTGAGGTGATTGTAGGAATAACTGGCTCCTATGCTGCAACCACCATCCAGCTGATCATTCCACCTCTGCTGGTTCACTATAGCCGCAGAGATACCCGGGAGAAGTTTGGCCCAAGTGTTCATATCAAGCATGCCTCTCCATTTCAGCACAACTTTTGGATAATTCTAGCCATCATCTTTGCTGTATTTACTATCACCACGGTGACAATATTGTATATAACACATCAAAGTTAATAAATACCAGTGTTAAGTAATGGAAATGTATTTTCAGTGAACCAAGTGATCAGCAATCCCTTAAATTCATATGAAGTGCTAAAGTTAAAAACGTAGCCCCTCATAATAGTGATTTATTATTGATTTTTACTTGGGCAGGTACTGTATGGAATCTAAATAGATTCCATGTTCATTTTACATTCTAACCTAATTTGCAAAGATTGTGTTGCATTAGTTGTTGCTCTTACATTTTATTATTTTTAAATTATGTTGTACTAAACTAGGGTGGAAGATGAAATTAGATAGTCACCACCACTCTTCTGAAATGCAGCGCCCTTCTATAGGGAAACATAGCAGCTGTTTGAGATATCACTAAACTACACAATAGCTTGCTGCAGGATTTAAAGAAGAACAGGTCTATGGGATGAATGCTGTTAGGGAGACTAAATAGCTGAGTTCAGAAATTTTTTTAGTATGTCTTTACAGTCTTTACAGTCAATATTCAGTACCAATGTCAAAATATTTACATTGCATGACAGCCTTTCCAGATGTCTAGCTATCACCTGGATAAAGTGGGGGCACATTCAGTGCTCATCCCCCATATCTACCTGCATGTGTGTATTCTATATACTCACCCTTGCTTACCTCAGAGAAGCGTTTTGAGGATAAGTAAGTTAATGGTTATAAAGTGCTTTGAGGTACTTAGATTTATTAATGATGATGCATGAACCTCTGTCATTGTGATCCTATTACCATGCATAACTCCCACCAGTACACAGATGTTTTCATAATAATTGGATGAACAGTTTTTAACAAAGTGAGGAAGTGCCAGGCTACCCATAACATTGTCTGTCTAGCTCGCTAGCTATGAATGATGTGCACCAGGAATCCACTGTAGTTTCCCATACACTGTGTAGTACTATACTAATGAGTGGATTTAAAATTAACAAATCTTGTGAGGTAAAGAGTTCTTTTGTTTTTAAAGCTCTTGAGGGAAAAATCTCTGACACACAATTACCATCCCAGAGATAAGTTTGCATAGCTCTATACATTATACACAACTAGCATAAGTCTGAAATTGCATTTTCAAAGGATGGTGGTGCAAATCTATCCCCCGGGGCCATCCAGAACATAAGCTAGGGCAGGACATGACTTTTGTCTAGTTAAGAGGCACTTAATGCAGAGTGCATATTATGCTGTAGTTTACATGGGTGGTTTAATTTTGGGGTGTAGTTCTAGTTATAGGTCTTGATCTTGACTTAAAGTCCTAAATGGATAGCTGCTAGAGAGCTAGGCTCTTTCTTCATTTGCTACCATTGTAATAGCGACCAGCAAAGGTGCCTGACCTAGCAGTTCCTTTTAGTTTAAAAGGGATGAGGCTGGTGAGAGGACAGTCTCTGCAAAGAATCCTCGCCTCTAGAATGCTGTCTCAGGCAGCCATGTTTCAGATTTGATGCCCTTCATGTATGCTGTTTTCATGATTTTTGGGGGAAGGGTTGGTCAGAGGAGGGATGGTTTTATTGTACTGCAGGTGAACTATATATGTGACTGGGATTGATTCATAAGCCAAGTTATTTGCATGTTTTAAAAAATATGTGCAAATGTATACAGTGGTGCACTTCAGAATATACCAGCAACAAGATGCACTGGGACAGGTGCTTTCTAGCGAGAGAAATAAACAATCAGTGGCATTCACATCTTTTTGCAAGTCTCAGGGTATCGCATATTCCAGGAACAGCCACAAACCCAACTGTTTCAAAAGGGATGAGTCACTTTTTGGATGCCTCCATTTTTTTGGGGGGTGCCCAACTTGAGATACTGAAAAGGGGACTAATTTTAAATTAATGTAACAAAGTGCTGAGTATCCATCTCAGAAGTCATATGCGCTTTGCATGCAGTAAACTGACATCTGGCCTGCCATTGTCTTAGAGGCCTTTCCTGGCCTCAGTGACCCAAATAGATCTCCAACTATTTTTGCAAAGCTAAATATCAAGACTTGGTATTACCACAGACCAAAGTCATTATTCAGGACTGGCTTTAACAACCCCTTCAAGGTTAAGGGGCTGGGTTCTGTCGCCCTTTATGCATCCTCATTTGGTGAGGCACCTGCACTGAAATCAGTAGAATGGTTTGCATGGTAAGGCACTATTCACTGTGAGCTAGCCTGGTCCAAAATGGCAAGTCAGGAGTGAATCTTGCAAGGGAAGGTGGTTTTTAATTTTTTTTAATCATTCCAGCCCAAACATAAGTAGCTGCATTGGTTGGCTTCCAACCTGTATCACGCATTGTCTCCAGGGGTTGGATTCTCCTCTCCCCCTTGTATCCTTTTTCATTGAAGCCTCTGGAACTACACTGGTATCCATGAGATCAGGATGGGGCATCTTCCTATTGTAACTCATGGTAGTAGTGCTGATATGACCTTCTCAGTTCACTTTCTGTGGGACAAGCTGCCTTTGGCTATAGCCACCTGGCTGTCTTGGAAGTTGTGGAAGCCCTAAATGCATATCCAAAGGCAGAGTTTGGTCCATATATGATTATTCAAATGGTATTGCTGGGAGCACATACCCTGAGTGCTGCAGAGGGGGATTATGCTCTAAGCCAGGGGTCTCAAACTCAATTTACCTTAGGGCCTGTGTCAGTCCTCAAATCCTTCCAGCAGGCCAATAATGTCATTGAAGATGGTGTTCAGAAAAGAAAACGTTTAAATTGTATTTTTTATTTTGAATTTCTTAGAAATAATAGAACTGTCATACAACTTTATGTTCATGGGGGGGTGGGGGGGAGTGATGTGGCCTCCATGGCTGACTCTGTCTAGCGACTAGTGATGGTACCTTCGTCCCTCTCCCCCAGCCAATGGGAGCTGTGGGGGGCGGTGCCAGCAGCAGACATTTTTGGCAGCATGGCTGCATTGATCTCTCTTCCACGGGCCGCAGTGGGGAGGTTCTTGGGCTGCAGATGGCCCGTGGGCCAGGACTTTGAGACTCCTGCTCTAAGATCGATGCTTAAAAGTAGATACAAAGGAAATTTAAAAAAGGTAATGTCAAAAATGCCAGTACACGTATTAGATATTTTGAGAGACGATTTCTTAAACTTTCCTAAGTGAATTTCTGAATATTATTTGAATGTAATAAGACAGCAGCAGCCAAGGTGCTGCTGACACCATTCAGAGTTCACTTGGCACATTATTAAAGCGAGGAATGTGTTTGTTAGTCTCAGTAAAACAGGGAGTAATTTTTTTTCCTAAGGGGTGTTGGGAAATGAATACATGTTGCTTGTCTGTTGATGCCTGGTCACCATTTGCAATTTCTTCATGCTGATATCAAATTAGACAAGATGGCCTGTTGTAACTGCTGAAGGCATGAAATTATAAATCCTATGTGATTGGCAGTGCTCTGATTCTACCTGTCCTCACAAGTGCATCTTCATAAGTCTTGGCCTATTAGAATGCATTTTTGGGGAAGGACCTCATTTATTTGTACTGGGTCTGAAGTACCTGAAATCTCTCCCAGGATAGTTGGTACTGATCTTGTAACAGTGAATTACATATTTTACTCTAGCCATGGCTTACTTGCCATCCTGGCAATATAGTCAGCCTGATCTTGAGTCTCTGCTGTACCAATTAATACCTCTTGCTTTCCTTAGTGCAGCTACTGTCCACCCATGACAAGCTGATCTTCTGCACTTGCTGTTGGTTGCCCTCAGACGTTTTATTGCATCCCAGAGTCAGTCCTTCTCTTCCCATGTTGGACAATTTAAATTGTGAAGTATGGGACGTGTTGGTTATGGGGAAACTTACTTGAATGAAACAATATAAAAATTGGCCACTCTACCCCTCTTGAAATTTGAAGGGTCTCTGACAAGGCTCCAGTTTTGATACATCTACAATATAAGTAGGCTTTTCCTCTAAGATAAGTGTAGTTTGTTTAATTTCTTATAATGAATATCTTTTATTATGCCTTTTCCACAGACAGCATGTAATTAGCTCTTCAGTCAACATAATGAAACCACCTCCAGCGAGTGACAGCAGCTATGCTGGCAGGAGAGTGTCTCCTGCCAGCATAGCACTGTCCACATCGGCGCTTCAGTTGTTGAAACTTATGACATTCAGGGGAATATTTTTTTTTTCCACAACCCTGATTGCCAAAGTGGTAGTGTAGACATAGCTTTAGTTTTCCAGACCTGAAGAACACCACATAAGCTTGAAAGTTTGTCTTTCTCACTGACAGAAGTTGGTCCAATAAAAGATGTTACCTCACCCACCTTGTGTCTGACTTTGTGTGTGTCATTTTAAAAAAGGCTGGTTTGTAAATGCACCCACATCCTTTCTCTGCCTGCCCTTGTCATTCCAGCCTGTGCTGTCCTTGAATCCCATCACTGACTTTCTATTGTTACCCCTCTGCCAAGTGGTAGTAGCTGTAGGGTCTTGCATGTAACTTTCCTGTTGGAGAAACCAGTGACATGGAGTCTGGATGTATTCTCTGTGCAGCTTGTTTTATTTACACATATTCCAGTGCTGGAATGGAAGCTAGGGAGTCAGTGGGTTTTTCTAGCTTAGCTCAGATGGGTTTTTTCATTGTCTTTGTATTGAACTTGGACACTCCATCTATTGCTTCCTGCATAATTCATTTTCCATGGGATACCTTGATATTGTCCCCTGTAGTGACTGTCCTGAATCTCTGCTCCTTGCTTACAGCCCCTTAATGCAAAAATGTCTGAAGGGTCTCTTTCCAGTTTGACTCTGTTCTCGTATGTGTTTGCTGCCCCCTACAATGTTGGTGACCTCAGCAGATGAGTTAAATTTACAGCAAAGGTATGTGAAATAATGAATGGGACTGATTAATAAAGAACTTAAATCTCTGTGAAGCAACCCAAACAGGCAGAGGTTCACAAGGGAGCTGTGGCAGGCCTGGAGGAGGCTTTGCTTGAAGATGGATGCGTGAACAATTGACATGTTCTAGATGGTGGACCAGCCTCTTGTTTTTCCTGAGCATTCCTTGCAGTTTTGAAAGATACTACTTTGCAGTCCATCAGTGGTCTAGGGACCCTAACTTGAGAACCACTGTCCTCAATTTTTTTCATCTTGCAGCACCCTGTATTATGGATAAGCACAAGTCAAGACTGACTGGAGTTTATTGTTTAACAGCTGATTTTTCTAAGGACTCTAAAATCTACATGCATGCTCAGATTGCCCTGAGCATTCGGGTGTGTTGTTGAAATATGTGGTAAGTTTAATAGTTCAAAATTAGTGTCGTTTGGTCAAGGGGTTCCTGAGAATCAGTACCTTTTTAATAAAAGAACATGTCAGTAAAATTTTCCTGTTCTTGTAACATTTTTGCATGCATCTGAGGCCCAAATGATGTCACAGATCTGTCCTAAGTTGATATTGCTTAGTTGTGTTTGATTTCAGCTAGTGTCTGGCATCCACAACCACTTTGGGGAAGCAATATTGGGAGAGTTATTAGGGGTTGAAGTTGGTCCTACGAAGTGTCTCAATCCTCTATGATGTGCTCCAGACTGTGCCTGGTGCATGTGCCACAGGATTGCTGCTCTATGACAAAACAAGAGTGTGAAGAAACGGCTGATGTCAGCCTTAATTCTGTATTATAGTCCTGTCAATGAATGGACAAAAACATGCCTTCCTCTCTCTCTCTTAAACTGAGTGAACAGGCTTCTGGAGGGTGACAAAGATTCATCCCACTGAACCTCACGGCACTGGGGTGAGCTCATTACATCCACATCATTAGTGGTCTTTGTATATTTTTGGTTCAATTTTATTTTTTAGCATTGGTGGAGAAACCATACACTGGTCCGTCCTTGGACTCTCACAAGACTTTTTTAGTGTATTTTAGTCTGTGTCACATTTGTCCTCCTTTCTGTAACTCTGGCTTTTTTGCAGACTTGAGAGTGGTGACTTATGTAGAATAAATAATGTCAGCTCTGACAATAACAGGATGATGTGATGGGCTGCTATTAAAAACAGGCCTTTTTTATTCTTGTCACTGTGTTAGAAATGTCATAAGGTTACATTTGTTTTCCCTACCATTTTTCTCTTCCTGTTACTATCTTCATCACAGGAATAAATTAATTTTGTTGGCATGAGTTTTTGTCCTTGCTGTGACAGTGGGGAAAATGGAATGAAATTACTTGACTTTTTCACAGTATCCATGGCTCCCCCAGGACAACAGATTTGCATTTGTATCAGATTTTACAATGTGAGTTATGGGGCCAAAGCTTTGCTCTGTAGAGTGCAGTTGGAAGTTTCATTTATGCTCTTGTAGAAAGCAGTTGACCTTTCTAAGGATAGAAACATCAGTAGCCCATAGGGCAGAGAGGGGAAAACTGCTTTTCATCATTCCAATTATAGCAACACAGGCGTCTTATGTTAAAGTTGGCTGAGCTCCCTATAGCTGATCTGCTGTGTTTTTGTCAATAGGTATCAGATGTAACAATGAAGAAAAACAGCATTTTCAACAGCTTAAAAATTATTTTGACCAAAAAAATGGCAGCCACACTGTGAAGTGGCTTAAATAGAAAATGGGACAAAGAGAAGAACAGATTTTGGGACAGCTAAGCAGACTGACTAGAGGGTTTTAAATAATTCAATCAACTGATTGGACTCTGCAAAAATCTAATCTATTAAATTTGTCATACATAATCTCTGCAAAGTTTGTGTCAAAGTACTCCAGTAGCCTTCTAGGAAATGACACAATGAAATAAAAAGCTTGCCCCAGATGTTTCTGTGAAAGCAGAGGATGTTGTTGGCATTCTAAGTTATCTATACCACCCATAAATTGCCTGGCTAGTATATTTCTGATGGCTTTCCAATGATGGCCCAAAACAAGATTCTCAGATGGCATAATCAGTATAATTCCATTGAAGTCAACAGAGCAACCCTGATTTACATTAGCTGAAGATCTGTCCCTTTGAGTTCATTTGGCGAGAATGGGTGAGGGCTGGAAGGAGGAGGAGACCCAGAACTTGAGACCTCTGAAGTGTGGTCCAGTGGAGAAGGCACTGGACTTGGAGTGGAGTCTGTGCAACTTAAACAAATCGCCGCCTCCTTTTTCTGCTTCATCATTTCCATCTGTAAACGGGAATAATAGTGTGAAGTGCTTTGAGATCTTTGAATTAAAAGCTCTGCATATGTGTGAAGTATTCTATTGCTAACATATGAAAAGAAATTAGTGTAAAGAGAATGTCATCAGTAAGTCTTCTCATACACTCAATGTCTTCCTGTAAAGATTCAATCAAACTCTGCAGCCTCCCTGCAGAATATTTTCAAAGCATCTTGCACTCTGTGATTTCAGTGTGTTGGCTCCGAATGACTGTAACAGCAGTCACTGTCCTATAGTAAGTTTTGTGGGGGCATCTGCCAGGGATGGCAGCATGAACTCCCAGCTCCAAGTGGGAAGCTGAAGAATCCATCTCCTTCTAAACTTGCCCTCTGAACTTTAAAATTATAAATAACTGATCCAGTGGCTACTCCAAACAGGAATCCAAGCCTTAAAAGCTACAGCTTAGGAGGATTCACCTCCGCTTTATGAAGGAAATGATATGATGCCTAGGCTACCTAAAGAGGTGAAGGAAAAGACCCTCACCCTGCTTCAGAAGCTTATCTGGAGATGCTTCTAACAACGATCAAGGCAACCTGTCATAAATATAAAGGGAAGGGTAAACCCCTTTGAAATCCCTCCTGGCCAGGGGAAAGCTCCTCTCACCTGTAAAGGGTTAAGAAGCTAAAGGTAACCTCGCTGGCACCTGACCAAAATGACCAATGAGGAGACAAGATACTTTCAAAAGCTGGGAGGAGGGAGAGAAACAAAGGGTCTGTGTCTGTCTGTATGCTGGTTTCTGCCAGGGATAGACCAGGAATGGAGTCTTAGAACTTTTAGTAAGTAATCTAGCTAGGTATGTGTTAGATTATGATTTCTTTAAATGGCTGAGAAAAGAATTGTGCTGAATAGAATAACTATTTCTGTCTGTGCATCTTTTTTGTAACTTAAGGTTTTGCCTAGAGGGGTTCTCTATGTTTTTGAATCTAATTACCCTGTAAGATATCTACCATCCTGATTTTACAGGGGGGATTTCTTTATTTCTATTTACTTCTCTTTTTTATTAAAAGTCTTCTTGTAAAAACTGAATGCTTTTTCATTGTTCTCAGATCCAAGGGTTTGGGTCTGTGGTCACCTATGCAAATTGGTGAGGCTTTTTACCAAACCTTGTCCAGGAAGTGGGGTGCAAAGTTTTGGGAAGTATTTTGGGGGGAAGGACGCGTCCAAACAGCTCTTCCCCAGTAACTAGTATTAGTTTGGTGGTGGTAGCGGCCATTCCAAGGATAACGGGTGTAATATTTTGTACCTTGGGGAAGTTTTGACCTAAGCTGGTAAAGATAAGCTTAGGAGGTTTTTCATGCAGGTCCCCACATCTGTACCCTAGAGTTCAGAGTGGGGGAGGAACCTTGACACAACCCTATCTAATATTCACTCCAAGCTGCTAGCTATAGGAAAGGATGGGGCTGATCTAGATGAGAGGGTCAGCACAGCTGAAAGTGGAATAAAGAGCATGCAGATGCAGCATTGAATCAGCAGGTCCAAACCAAGCAGCTGGAGAGAAGCAAGATTATCCTCTCCTTCAGAGATGCTATGTGGAGAATCAGGAAAGAAGGAGCCACACAAGAATAAAGGAGTCCTTGAGAACTTCTTTAACATTCAAGACAAGTTTGGAGAATGGGAAGCTGTACTAGACAGGTTCTTTAATTGAACCCTGAAACAAAAATGTGATTGATCTGACAAATATTTCTAAAAAGAGACTCCATTTTAGTTAGTTACTGGTGGACATTCTCCGAGGTAATGGAGAACTGTACATTTGAATGATAAAGATTTTGTTTAATTCTCTTGCAGGAATAGAACTCTCTCTCACTTGATTTTTTTCATCACATATTCTCGCTTGCAATTAGTTGATGGCAGCACCACTGGAAACATCACATAGTCAGCTCATATGCCAGTCTCACTCCATCTAAGAACTTAGTGGCTGAATCACCATTGATTTATGGTGATTAATACAGGGTCTTGAGGGCCATATCTGACCATAGGACCAATTTATATAATTACACAAAACTGATCAAGTATTTTTCAAAAATTGCCACATGAAGGATGGAAATTACATATCTTTATAACAAAGCAAACAAAAAAACATTTAGCTGATGAAGCGGAAATATTATGAGAGGAAATAAAAGGAGAGACTTTTGACCTGGAAGTTGAAAGATTTGTAGGGGAAAAACACAAATGAGAAGTACCCAGTGTAAATGGTTTTGTTGAGAAATGTAAAATGATTTACATTTCTCAAAGAAATAAGCATGGTGTTTTGGAGAGTACTATAGCAATTGAAACAAATGTTATAGCCTAGAAGTAGATAAAACCTATAACTATGTACAGGCTGTTAGTTTCTCAGGATTTATAGATTTAGATAGAGAAAGGTGGGAAGTGGCTGTAATGGAAGAAGTGTAAGAGAAGCTTTCATACAGAGGAGGCACTCGGGAGGGGAGCTTGCGGGGGCTATAGCCACCCCAAAATCTGCCTTAGTCCCACGTCTGCCCATAGCAACTGCTGTTCTCTGGCCACCTGGCTCTAAGGCAGAGTGGAGAGAGTGGTGGCTGCTGGCCAGGTGAGGCCTGGTGGGGGACCAGGGTGCCCTAGAGTAGCCCCTGGCCCATGTCTCTGCCTGCTAGGCCATACCACCTAGGGCAGGTGGAGGGTACGGGGCTCCTCACAGCAGGCTGCACTGATCTCCTCCGGTCTGGGCTCCTGGCATTCCCCCACCATGATCATTGCTCCCTGAGAACTGTGCTGGTCCCGTAGCCAGTGCCCCCTACCTGGGAAGCTCTTACCACCTGTGAGCAGCCAGCACCCTGGACTGCCCTGCTTTGACTTCCGACTTGGCCAAGAGGCAGGGCCATGGAGCGGGGTGGGGTCTTGTGGAGGAGGGGGTGCAACACCCCCCCAATTTTCTTTCTGGCCCACCTCAGCCCCCTCTCCCACCTTATCCCTGCTTTCATAGAGTGCAAACTAGGGACATAGCCTATGGTCCTGCAAAGGTTTATAACCCTTTTTTCATGAAGGGATAATAAGTATGCTGACACGTGTTTACAAGGCTACGCTGGTGGAGCACAAGCTTCCTGCTGCAGCTGGTCAAAACATGAAAACCTATTTTCATGAAAAATTTCAAAACTGTTCTCATTTCCAAGTGTTTGAAACTGGCTAATATGTATATTTAATAAGTAATTCCTTTTTTCCAACACTTAAAACATTTTAAGTGTGCAAAACTGGATTTTTTGCTAAACAATTTTTTGATAATTTAACAATGGTTTTTGTTAAACTATTTTCAAAAACACTTTTTTTTAAATGAGCAATTTTAAGGCCAACAGATTTTTGGCAGAAAAGCCCCCTCTTAAAAAAAAAAAAAATGGCCCCCTTTTTTTTTCCCAATGAAAATTTGTTTGAAATATTTTGGCTAGTTCTACTTCCAGCATCAGTGACAGAAGATTCCATGACAGTCTCTCCTAAGCCAGGTAAAGATCTTAGCTGACGTATTTCTGTTAGACATGTACTGTCCTAGACTGGAGTTAAATAACAACAGTAAAAATTAGGCCAAGATTCTGGCTCCTAGAAAAAACAAAATACAACCTATACATGTACACAGACTTCAGACATGCTTCCTCTGTGGCAAGCAGCTAACAGACAGCATTAGGCAAGTCTGGGGATTATTCACCCTGCCTGGTCAAAGAAAGACCCATGTGTATTAGTATTGGCTGCTGGAAAAGCCTTTGATCAAGAGTGGGATTAACTGAAGGCAGGCTTGGAACAATACTGAATTGGACCTAACTTTCTTAGGTGGATAAAAGCACTATGGGCCTGATCCCAAGCCCACAAAAGTCAATGGAAATGCTCCCAGTGACTCAGCTGGGCTTTTGTTTGTGCCATATATTGGGAACTGGTGGAGGTGAGGATTTAGTGGATGCAAATCAGAAGTGTTTGCTCTCTCAAGGCACTAGGCAGGCACAATGAGTTAGATACCATCATTGGCCATGTGTACCTAAAAATACATGATTTGTGCTCACACTGGCTCTTGGGAGCAGGAGTTGTATGTCTGTTAATATACTGGTACACGTGATTATGCATGATCATCCTAGAAAAGCAGGCCTTACATGCCTGTTCATATTTCAGAGATACTCATTTTTCGTGAGCTATGATTATCTTCTGTTACATAGGAATGTACTGTTTGTGATTTATCATTGAGTTTATGTTTATGTTCTATCATTGCTTTGTATAGACCGTTGGGACATACAAGGTTGAAGTTTGGTTTCCTAAATGTTTACATTTGGTCTACTAGCTCAGAATGAGGAGACTTGGTTGTTTTACAAAATAGGCAGTGAAGAGAGGACTGGATGACTAAAAGGATTGGTAATAGGATATAGGGTATTTCAACTCTAGCAGACCTATCTGAATTCAATTCAAGTCAGTAGTGCCTCACAATAATTCCAATCTGTTATCTGCTCTATGGTTTACATGGAATGAGTGATGCAATACCCAGCAGACAAATTATATCACCCATCCACCACCAAGGTTAGTACTAATTGGTACCCTTGTTGGCCATATCAGCAGATGACAAGGACTGAGAACTTAAGCCCCTGTATAACTTTAAACACCTTGTGACAAGGTGCTGGGCAAAAGGTTGCTGGTTCAGCCCTCTGTCACACCAGCTCCCATTTAGGGGAATAAATTAGAGCTGGCTGGAGATAATCTGGCCCTAATTAGCCTGGGGCTGTATAGAAGTCAAAGGGGGAGCAGAAAGAAAGGGAAAAGAGAGAGAGTGGAAGCAGGGAGGTAGGTCTCCCACCTCCAGATGGTGAAGGGCCAATTGTATGTGGTAAAATGGTGGTGGGGAAAGCCTGTAAGTAAACTGCACCTGTGGTTACTAATGCCAGGATCTCAGAGTGACTTTGTGGGAGTAAAGGAGCTCTGCTACACACTTATGTAATTTCATTGACTGCAGTGGGACCATTCACATGCTTCAGTAACTTGCTAGATAGGGACCTGAAGGGGGTAGAGATCGAACTATCCCTTTACTTGTAGAGGTGTTTAGGGTGGGGAAGATAGCTGTGCCCATTATAATACTGCTCTGTGGGTGAACAGAATACACCAGAGACCAGGACCTAGATCATCAAAAGTATTTAGGCACCTAACTCCCATTGGTTTAAATTCTTAATCACAATCTTTCACCTGTACACACATTCACAGGGAGAGGTGGAGTTGGGGGGAGGCATACCATGTTCTGGGATCTGTTCATGCTCCCGCTGAAGTTGACAAGAGTTTTGCCATTGACTTCAGTGGGAGCTTGTGTGCCCTTAAAATGGGGAAAGGGTTATTTACAAAGCTTCATTTTTCATGATGTTTCAAACATTTTATTTGTTGTACATGACTTTTGTTTTTTCTCTCCTTAACTACATTAGTTTAGGGATCTAATTGTCAAATCACAATAGCCTATTGTCTGCTGTGTCCTCATGCCTTGAAAAGTTTCGAGCAGTGGAATAAGGGTTTCTCTTTTATTGTTAAGCTGGGTTGCCCAATGCAGGGGAAAGGTTTATGAACTTATCTACTTCAGAATCACTGTAGATAATCCATTTAATTAAAATGCCAACTCTCCAGTGTCTTTGGAGCTGGAGGACATTTCACTGAACCTTGTCTAGAATTTAAATAACTCCTCCCCTGACCAAATCCCAACCTCAGAACTCATTAAACGTTTGTTGGCTGAAGTGCAGCATTAGCAAAAAATCTATTTTTCTGCAGAATAAATTTATACAGCACATATTGTTGTATTCAGCCCAAGAGTGGTGATTATTAATTTTGCTCTGCTAACCTATGCTGATAGTAAACAAATTCTGATTCAATTAGAAGAAAGTTGGCAATTAAAAGCCCAGGGTAGGCCAGAGAAATGCACATGAGCTGATTCGAGGAATCCAGTGATAGTCAACTTTATGCTGGGAAGCTGTATAGCAATTGTGCTCCAAGGAATATGTATATTGGATGTCTCAGAATTGTGGAGGGGAGGGAGGACAGAGGGAGTAATTTCCCTGCTCTTGCCCCTTAGTATACCTGCACAGGAACCAGCCACAATGTAGTCTAGTGATAGCTGGGGCTCTAGGCTGGATGTCTCACTAGCACTCCCTGGGACCCTTCATGGCCTCAGAAGGGCGTGACCATCTGCACTCTTGCTGATGTCTGGCTGGGGTAGAGAGTGGACGCTGGGTCTTTTGAAAGCAGCAGTTCTATCTACTGCTAAGCAGGTCCCCTCCCCCAAGATCTCCCCACTCCCCCAAGCTATTCTGTTTGTTTGCTATGCACACAGAGAACACCTGGAGCCATCTCTGCTTGGCTTCTACAGCTTGGTTCCCTGCCCAATCCACTTCAAGGGCCAGCAGACACAATCTTGCCTTAAGGGTTTAATTAAGGGATCTAATTTAGAACATCAAACTAAGGATGACCTGACAACTGAGCCAAGGCCAGAAATGTATGCATAAAGCTCTCCCCATCAGGCTGGAAGGGCATTCGGCACTTACATAATTCTCAGTCTGTCACTTAAGAATTTCCTTGTCACCAGCTTTCAAAAGCTGGCAGCTGGTTCTGCATTTGCTGTTGATGCCCTAGGATCGATCATTTGACATCTCAGAAAGCTCATCTGCAGTGTGGAGCTGCCCCATAAGGGATGACCTCCAGCCTTTAAAAACACACAAGGGCAATTAAGTTCAACAATGTCTGTGTGGGAAGAGTCTGTCACCAACACAGCACTTGCATTCAGTGAGACAGATCCGCAGCTGGCACAAACTGAAGTCAGCAGATCTATGCTGATTTACACCAGATAGGCTACTATTTGTGTTCTAGTTCTTCTGACTTTCTCAGAGAGTGATTAGCTTCAATACTGCTAATCCCGAGTATTTTAAAAAAAAATTGTCATGCCCCCAACCTCAGGAGCTTGGCTTGAAAACCAGAAGCTTTTAAGATAATAAATTTGGTGTTCTCTTTATTTGCCTTCTGGGGATTGAGCTTTCATAGGTCACATTTCCAAGCTTTTCTCCACAGCCAGTTCTGAGGCCCAGCGGGAAGTTCGTAAACCCCTTAGCTGCTCTAGTCATAATCCTCTTAGTGCAGCTAACTTTTCCAGGCCTATGGAATGTCTCTAATCACTAATGCAGCTAAGGGGATTATGAACTATTATGTCCTTATTCCCCTTTTTATAGATTGGCACTATATTTGCCCTTTTCCAGTCCTATGGAATGTCTCTAATCACTATCCCTTATCCCCAGATAAGTCCCATGAAAAGTCCCAGGAACTGCTAGTGAGACATCCAGGGAGGAGATATCTGAACCACTAGTGATTATTTCTTTGAAAAGTCATGGAAGATGGCAGACATTCCATAAGACTGGAAGAGGGCAAATATAGTGCCAATCTATAAAAAGGGGAATAAGGACAACCTGGGAATCACAGACCAATCAGCTTAACTTCAGTACCTGGAAAGATAACGGAGCAAATAATTAAGCAATCAATTTGAAAACACCTAGGAAACAAAGGTGATAATTGACAGTCAGCACTGATTTGTCAAGAACAAATCATGTCAAACCAACCTAATAGCTTTCTTTGATAGGGTAACAAGCATTGTGGATAGGGGGAAAGTGGTAGGTGTGGTATATCTTGATTTTAGTGAGGCTTTTGATACTGTCTCGCATGACCACCTCATAAACAAACTATGGAAATGCAACCAGTTATGCACCCACCTTTATAGTAGTAGCTCCATCTAGGTTGTAAGATTGAAAAAATTGGGTTTGTTTAGGCTGAAGAGAAGACTGAGGGGCAACATAACAGGTTTCAAGTACATAAAAGGTTATTACAAGGAGGGAGGGAGGTAAACTGTTCTCATTAACCTCTGAGAAACAATGAGCTTAAACTGAAGCAAAGGCAGTTTAGGTTGGCCATTAGGAAAAACTTCCTAACTGTCAGGGTAGTTAAGCACTAGAATGAATTGCCTCGGTAGGTTGCAGAATTTCCATCATTGGAGATTTTTAAAAGCAGGTTAGACAAACATCTGTCAGGGATCATCTACAGAATACTTAGTCCTGCCATGAATGCAGGAGACTGGACTAGAAGACTTCTTGAGGTCCCTTCCAGTCCTATGATTTTATGATTCTACCATGTGCTTAAGTTTTGGTATGTGTTTAAAAATAAATGTGCTGAATAGCTTTCCTGAATTGGGACAGTGGGGGCTGATTCTCCACTTTGTGACACCAATTCTTGAGGTGTTAACTCCTCAATGGTATTAAATTCACAGTTCCAAGGGACCAAATAGTCTACTGGTGTAAGTAGGCACAATGCAACTATTAAGGGGGAGGTGCCACGTTCCCTCAGTAGTGACTCTGGCCCCAGAAATGCATACATATGAGTAACTATTTAAAGCCTAGTCCTAGCAAGATCTCAAAAACAACATACAAATGTCACTCTGCACTTTGTCTCTCAGTTCTGAGGCCCATAATCCCCTTAGCTGCTTATCAGAAATGATTTCCATTCACTTCAAGTCTTCCCTCATCAAGCAGCATACTGCACCTTGCCTGACTTACCTTATCTTAATTTAATAACCTCCAAGAAGAATGGAATTATCCCATTTGGCTGAGCCCAGGAGCCTGGAAGTTTAAAAAAGACGACTACTTTGAATAAATCATAAAATGCATTGAAAATTTAAAAGAAAATGCAGTTGTTATTTCTGAGCCTTCTCCTGGTGCCAGCCAGCTGCTTTCAGGAGTGTTATTGGCAATGGTCATGTGAGAGCTCAGTATCAAAGTCTTAAGTAACATGTTAAACTGTTTTAAAGTCTGTCATAAGAGAAATTGTTTAATTTATTATTTACTGTAAGTCACTGCAGAGAATACAGATGTTGGCCTCATGCTTGCAGATGTGATGAACGTTAAACATATGAGTAGCTCTGTGGGATTCAATGGGGCTACTCATGTGCATAACATTACATGCAGGCATAAGCATTTACAGGATCAAAGACAGAAATTAAGGGCCTCCTGAGTCTGCAAAGATTTAGGCCCATGTTAATGCCACTGGTTTGCATAGTTAAATATATACATAAGTATTTGTAGTAGCGGAGCCTTAGCGTTGAACACCATTACTCTTATGGTATTTTCCTTCTTTGCGTAGGCCCCGATCCAGGACAGAACTGAAGCTCATGCTTCAACCACATTCACCGTAACAAAACTTAAATACATGCTTAAAGTTAAGCCATGTACTCAAGCACTTTCCTGTATCATGGCTGTCCTGGGGGACCTGGGCGTCCCTCTCAGCGAGTTGAACAAACCACAGCATGGTTTTGTCACTCTGGAATGTGAGCTTAATTTGCTGCTATTGTCTCATGTTCTTAATTTGAAAATTGTGATCGTGGGTCATGGGGCTGCTATTTAATTCCAACCCTGATGAAATCTCACTGATTACACAGAGGCACACAATTTATTAATTAAGAGTAGATGGTGAGCTCCCCTCATATTTTGATTAACCCTAATAGCCTTCTCAGCACGATTTGCAAAGAACTGAAGACACCATTACAACTTTTTATAAAATAATTTGAAAAGCTATTAAGCGCATCCCTTGAAACCCTCTCACGTATTAGATGGCTAATCTGCATGAATAACTGCTTGGCAGCCGAACATGAGCCACCATGGAAAACATTCTGCTGATTTTGTGAAATTACTTTTAATCATGCTTGAGAAGGCAGATGGTCTTTCAGACTTTAACCAGATTTGTTTTCGGCAAGAGAAGACGCGAAGGACAAGGGGCCTCTCCCTCTTTATAAGCCCTTGAGCACAGTGAGACACCGGGTCAGAAGCAAACCTAGGACTTCCCGCAGCTGATGCCAGGAGGCAGAGGTGCTGGATAATCAGAAGAGAGAAAGACGGCATAACACTGAAGGTGAGAGTAGAAATGAAGGATTTGTGTTTCAGTGGTGCTGAGCCCTTGCAGTTTCGATCAAAGTCCCTGGGAGTGTGCAACACCTCCAAAAAGCTATCCCTTTAATGGCTACATTATGGGGGGGTTTGTCACACCCCCATGCTGGAGAAGGAGACACTCCCCGACCCCCAACACATAGACTACTTGTTCACTTATTCCCTCCCTGGAGCACGTGGGTGGAGCCTTGAGTACATGCTTCTCTCACTGGGCAGAGTAGCTGGGCCTGTGTGATGGAGAGTGAAATGTGCTGCAGGTATTGGTTAATAGTAACTTAGTATTTATTGGGAGCAAGGAGGAATTGTCACTCAGAGGAGTGTCTTGGAAGCAGAGAGGCTCTCGGCTTTTCTCCTGCGTTGGTGGAGCATGTGCATCCCTGCTTGCTCAGACTGTGCCTAAAGTTGGAATCTAGCCTTAAACTCTAACCCTCTATAGGCTAGCTTCTGACTTTTTGCCTTTTTCTCCATTTGCCTTTTTCTCTGGAACAGAAAAGTACGGTTGTGTGGGGTATATATCTCTTATAAGGAAATGTGAATCTGAGGCCTGAGTGATTTGGAAACGTGGGCTATTGCAAGTAAAATCCCACCCTCCAGAAAACTTATAGTTCAACCCTTGTTCTTTTCCACTCTCTCAGGGTACAGACTACAGAGTCTTCATCTGCTATTATATTTGGAGGCTCACCAGCTTTTCTGCAGAATAAATGGGGATATGTATTGCTCTCTCCTAATGGCAGATTGGCCAGTTTGTATCTTTTGGGATTGATTATCCTCTTCCTAGCATGGTGCCTCTTTTCTCTTCTTCTGCAAAGGCGCCTGTAACAGAAGATGCAAAGGCAGAGTTATTTCCTAGGTCATAAAAGGCAACATTATGAAAGGGGATACCAGGTTGACTTTGAAGTGGCACTTCTACTTAGTGTTGGTGGAACCTCAGAAGGATTCATAATTCAGGTTTGGTTTGCATAAGGATCAAAAAATGTGGCTATTTAAGTTCATCCAGGCTTCTTGCCTCTGTAAAAATTAGGGTGAAAATCTAAGCAGCATGAGCTTTTGGCATATTGGCTGCTGGTTGCAGCCAGACATGGCCCTTCCAGTTGAGTCCTGGCCCTTAACCTGCAGTGACAAAAAGCCTGGAGTCCTTCCAAACCCCAAACTTCTTTTCTTAGAGAAGTTCCCACATCCCTGCCTTTGGCTGACTTTTTGTTAGGAACTCAAATGCTTCCTGAGTATGTCCTACTGGGACAAACTATCTCCTTGAGTCCCAAATATTTACAGTGCAGTTTGATCATTAAAACTTTTTGTGATGTTCCCCAACAGATGGGCCTGGGGCAGGGCAGAGGGAAGGCAAATCTTTATAGCCATATCTAAAAATGACTGACCATTGCACAAACCCTCGCCTGCTTATCAGGGCATAATGGATCTTGTTTGTTGAAGAGATTCCACTGAAATATTATAGAAATGAAGGGCCTGATTCATTTTGCATACACCTGTTTACATTGACTCCATAGACTTCAATACAATTATTCACGATTTCCACCAGTGAGAGGGAACTCTGGCTATTCATCCTTAGTCAGGGACTCAGCAACTGGAAAAGCTTATTGTAAATTTCCCAAGCTGTCCCAGGCCAGATGGGAAATTTTGCTCTGTTGTATTTCTATTAATATTGAAAACAGAAGATGTACTCAGAGGCAATGCTACAGGAGAGGTACTCGTTATCTAGGCTAGGAGGTCACAGATAGCTTTGAAAGTCATCTGTTTCTACAAATGACTACAAGTAACCTGGTAACAGATGGTGAATGAGGAACACTAAGGGTGTTTGCTTGCCTTCTTGCTGAGCCTGAGTGAGTCTTAACTGTCCTAAGTTTACCCAGGTCAGAGTTTCTGTGATCTGGGAATAGGCCAGCTGGATTGTGCTTGATTTCTTCTATTCTCCCCAAGACAGTTAAAGAGCTTTGCCAGTCTCACTGGGATAAATGCTAGCCAGTAGGTGGGGGTCATTTATAATCCTTTCAAGAGTGTTGATACCCACCTTTTAGAATATCTGAGTTTTGTCAAGAGAAATTGTTTTCCCCAAAATGGAGACACTTGTGTACAGTACTTAAGTGGATTACACTAACCGTATGCAGCTGTTTTATTTTTTAAATAGCAGGCTCCCTGGAAATGTAACTCTGGGCTTCCCTAACTCATTGGACCCAAAGTGAGGCATTCCTCAGTGCCTCATCAAGGAGGCCTTATCAGAACAGGGGTTCCAGGTATTGCACTCGGTTTCATCAAGGCTACAATTTCCCCCTTTTTATATTGCTGTCCCATTTAAAGCATGTCCTATGCTCCACACACACCTCACTGATGAGAAGAGGTCAGTAATTCCTTTTCTTTTGTTTCAGAATGGCTTCAGCTGCTTTGCCTAGTAGCTGGGGAATTTGAATGACTTGATAGGACCCTCTCTCTCCATGATGGACTCAGCCAGCAAACGCCATAGTCAGCAATTGTAGGTAACTTGTGTGGATGTATCACTAAATCCTGTGGTTATTAAGTGCCAACAGCATATTTGTCTAATGATCTACAGTTCCAGAAAGAGAAAAATAGTAGACCATGCCTAGATAAAGAGTTGAAGAGGATGTGATCTTAATGATGGATCTTGCAGGAAAAAACTGTATTGTGAGCTTTAAGAATAAGGACCAGCCATCTCCAAAGGCCAAGGACTGAGTGTCTTGGAAGGCTGCTAGCTCTGCTTTATTTCATTGTAGAGCATGACTGAATATCCAGTATTTTTGCAGTTTGCTGTACCTATGACATTCTTTAGCTTGCGTAAGGTGTAGCCTGGTTCCAACACCTTGACTTGTCTCTTCCTAGATAGTTAATTCATTATGTTTTGCTTGTTTCTGTTTGTTATTGGTATGTAATTTATCTCTTCATAGAAGACAGTAAACCAGAGCTCCACTGTTTCTGTACCCATAGGGGAATTTGCAGCTGGAAAAGGCTTGTTGGGTCATCCAGGTCATCACCCTGAAATCTCCTTAAAATCCAGTCTTTATCCCTCAGAGGTTTTTAGTACTCTGCTGGAATGAACTGGAGTGAACCAACCCACATGGAATGAATATGAGTAAGTGATATACATTTTGCAATAGAGAATTCCAAGTAGGAGAACATTACTGTACATGTAGGAAAGGAGAACACTTATACTATGATTATGCTTAATGTTTGTCGAGAGATCCTTGACTTTGAATTAGATAAAGCTGGCTTGATGCACCACACATTTCTTAATGGTGAAATCTTTGCAATAAAGAGGGATTGGTAGAAAAATTTTAGAAACACCTACCAATGGAATATTGCACCCATTATATATTGACTCCATTCCAAAGTCACTGCAAGCAGATATTAGGGAGAATAAAATTATAAGGTGTAAACTAGGATCATTGCAGTCAGACATGATGCCATTCTTCTATAAAGACACCAGAAAATAATCAGCAAAGGCATCCTAGAGAAACAGTCATAGCAATATTAGAGCATGCAGCATAGCAGTAAATCTCAGGAGGCCCCATCCCATCTGCTGTAAATGTGGGACAGTCAAGGAAACGATGGATAGCAACAAACAAACAAAAAAACCAAACAAAACCTAGACCTTGCAATGCGTCCTAGTGATTGGTAGTGAAAAAATCAACCTATGCCTTGTGCTTCAGTAAATAAGTTTTTCTTGTCTAATTTCTGGTCGAGAGAATTCCTGGTTCTAGAAGTAAGAATTTGTGTTTTTCTTTGCTAAATGCTGATAAATATATTAGCCCTTATTCTTATTTAACATTTATGTGGTGGGTAGCACTTATTGGCCCTGTTGTGCCAGATACTGTTCAAACACATAGCAAGAGACAGACCCAGAGCCAAAGAGCTTACAGTATAAACAGACAATGCAAACAAAAGGTGGGAAGCAGAAAGACTTTCCCAAGGGCTCAAAGCAATTCAACAGCAGAGCAAGGAGTAGAACTTATGTACCTTAACACCCAGTCTAATGTCCTAGCTATCAGGCAACACTACTGCTCAATAGCAGCTGCAGTTCAGGTCCATTTTGACTGTGGGCTTGTGCAGTGGTTAGGTTATTTGTACTGAAGAATCAAAATCTTCAGTGCCTAACCTTTTTCCTTTGGTCTGAGAAGACATGCTTTGCACTGGGTCCTTAGTACAATCCCTTAACACCTATATGTTGTCAAATTATTATGATTAGTCTTTTCCATGTGGGTACCTAATAAATCAAGAAGCTGTAAACATTCATCTAGAGAGACCAGATCTATAACTAGTTTAATCATTTTACCTATAAGATTTTAAAACATTTAAAGGAGACAAGACTTCCAGCTGCCTAGAGTAAACTGAAGTCCAGGATCTCAACATGCTTCAGATCATCACCTGTGAGCCTCAGTGGTCAAACTTTTAAAGCAGAATTGGGTTAGGATTTTTGAGGGGACCTAAAGGAGTTAGACACCCAAATCCCATTGGAAGTCAGTATAACTGACTGACTGACTGCCCTAGGCTGTTTTGGGAATCTCAGCCTCAACTGACAAGATGTTACAAACACCAGAAGTCCCTGCAGCATTTTCTATACCAGGGCCACCATCAGTCCTGCTTTTTGTGCTATTTGACCAGCTGGGCACACTCCACCTACTTGTGGTGGGACAACTGTGAAAAGGGGTTAACCAATCAGTTACACACTGAGATTTACTCCAGTCTACACCACCTTTGAAACTGGTTTAACTCTGCCCATATTTTGAGTGACATCCTCCCAATGCCCTGGTTAGTTGGAAATCAGTTTACTGAAGAGCAATCAAATTGCATTCACCTTCTGGATAACTCTTCAGGCTTGGCAGGTGCTTGGAAAAATGTAAATGAGTGTAACAGCATAATAACATAGTGCTGCTGGAGTTGCAGAATGAGAGTCAAAGGAGGTTATGAAACTGTACAACTTTGCTTTAAGACCTCCCTGAGAATTCTGTTGTCATTTGGAGCACCACAGGAGATAAAATATTGCTGTATTTAAAGATGTTCTGGGAGTAGAGATAATATCTGCCTCACTAATAAAAGTGATGATGAGGCCACTCTCCAAGTGGGGAGATAAGCTAACAGAATAGAAAGTGTTGATTAATATAGAAAGAATTAGGACAAAGATGTAAGTGAATGGTGTCTTATTGTAACTGCTCCACAAAGCCACAAACTCAGAGGGGGAATGTGTTAAAATGAAAGAGAAAGCAACATCCGGAAGCATTTTGGATGCTGTCAGAGTACTGAAGGTGTGGACTAGCTGGCCAGGCAAGGGTATTAAAGACACAGTAATATGGGGTTCTTCAATTGGCACTGTAAGACAAACATGTTGGTGTGGGGGACAACAATGCTTCATCTTCATTCCCCACCAATAGCTCACAAACGTTAAAAATGTTGATAAATTGTTCCTGGTATGGCAAGTACTCCGAGTGGGCAAACTGGTTCTGATCAGTAAGAATCAGGGCCAGCTCCAGGCACTAGCAAAGGAAGCAGGTGTCTGGGGCAGCCAATAGAAAGGGGCAGCACTTGGTGCATTATTGGGGTGGCATGTCCGGGTCTTTGGCGGCAAGTCCTCCATTCCCTCTCTTTCTCTTCGGCGGTAAATCAGCAGCTCAATCCATTTTTTTTCTTCGCTGCTTGGGGCAGCAAAAAAGCTGGAGCCGGTCCTGGTAAGGATCAATGTATTATTTGTATTAGAGCAGCACACAAAGGCCTATTGTGCTAGGCACTATACAAACACACAGTGAGAGAGAGTGCCTGCCCCAACTAGCTAACAGTTTAAATAGACGAGA